GTTATCGCTGTGCTCTTCGAATTACCTCAGTCGCGCGTCCATCATTATATTTTCCTCATAATCCATGCAGAAGTGGAAATTACGATCTGAATCTATCATTCACTTCGTTTCCTTTTAATCCTCTTCTCCTTGCGCACAGGTGAGCTGGAGGAAAAAAAAGCGGAATAGACAGAATTAGGACGTATTTCTGTCGAACGGAACTATGTGCATTATGACGTGAGCCCTGTTATTCGTGCATTCTTATGGGTCTTAGGGCTCGTGTCTTAATGCACATAGTTCCGTTTGATAGAAATACGTCCATTACACCGGGAGTGAGACCCCACAGTGTTGTTGAATTGTGAGGCAATTTAGGCTTCATGCAGTGCAGTGATGCAAATAGCGCTTGCCCTGTGATCTGGTGGTCCTTGGTTCGATTCCTGGCCAAATAGCTCCGAGTTTCATGGCCTCCAGCAAGGATTTTGTGGAGCTGGCACACTGAAAAAAAATTCTCGGCGTTTTTACCAAGGTCCGTCGGTACTTTTACCATCTCACTTTTTTTACCAATTATTGGTAATTTTACCAAGACGGACTAGTAAACTTACCTAAAAACCGGTATTTTTACTGTTTTTTTTCATGTAAGAATACCACTTTTATTGGTAATCAATTCCCGGTAACTTTGCCAGTTTATCTCGGTAATTCTACCACAGTCGATAAAAAATATTGGCGTTTTTACCAAGGTCCAGTGAAATTACCGGGAAAATTCGATAATTTTACCGAGATTTCTCGGTAAAATTACCAATTCCATAAATGGTAATTTTACCAAGAAAAAACTGGGATCAAATAGAACCCTGAATTCTTGGTAATTTTACCATTTTCTTAGTAAATACACCGAGATTTTTTTTTCAGTGCATGACCCATTATCCATGACTAGCCACTTTTAAGCTCTGACGGGCAGTACAGGCAGCAGTCCTTTCTATTTGAGTATCTTTAGTAGAATCACGTCCACTTTTACATTGTTTCTTATGCAGCTTTTTAGAGCACACCCCCATCTTTCTCACTCGTCTGTAGTTCCGTTTGGCAGAAATACCTCCAATTGAGGTACAACAGGATGGATCGGGACAATTTTCCGTCAAGTTTTGTTCAAAGAGAGGCAGCCTCTCTGACCAATGAATGTAAACGGATGGCCTGAAGACCAGATCAAAGATGAGAGACAAGAAGAACCCTCGCCACAGGAGGCGCGAGGGACAAGAGCAAGCGATTCCCGAAGACGCGGCGCACAGTGGATCGAGTCAATTAGAGAGGTCGGACATGAAATATTTGACTAAAACTCCATATGTTGAAGTTTATTTCGTCACATTTTAAAGTTTAAGAGGCAATTCCGGCAGAAAATTTCACGAGGAAATCGATTGAGCCACTTTTAAAACCTTGAATTTTTGTATGAGCGGAGCGTTATAAGCTTTTAAAGTTTCCGAATTTTGTCCGACCTCTCCTACTGACTCGATCCGCTGTGCGGCGGCGGTGCGCATGCGAGACTGGTCAACGCACCGGCCGCGCCGCGGCACCACAGCTGGCGCTATTGACACCTAATCAGTTTCATCTACTCACCGAGGGCATAAATGCCACTTCCAACCACTTCCATCGCCGCGGCCGGGCGCGCGGGGCCAGAAATTACGACCTCTATATCGGACCGGGGCTGGGGCCGGGCGGCTGCGGCGGCGCGGCATCCGTGAAAAGTTCAGTTCTTCTCCGAGGCGCAACGTCAAATTACCCCTAATGGATGCTCAGCTTTTAAAGAGATTGAAAGCAAACATACATGACATCGCTAATAATACGCTTCTTGCTAGACCGCCCGACTTCGCTATATCCCCATCGAAATCCTCGCTCTTCGTCATTTCAATTTATGTCCTTGCAGCGTAAAGTAGAATACCTCCATACAGAGAGGGCCCATCGGCAGATCCAAGGGGGAAGGGCGTAGCTCCCGCCCCCAGAATCACCGAAATCATATCTGGACTGCATTTTGCAATTTGGAACTATAAATTCCGGCCCGGTTTAAAACAACGCATGTGCCCATGGCCGGATTAAGGGGGTGGCCACATGGGCCGCGGATCATGGCGGCAAATCTAGGGGGCGGCAAATTTTGCAATATTTTTAAATGTAGGAAAAAAAATCGAATTTCGAAAAAAAATTACGAACGAGAAAAAGCTGCAAAATCTCTCATTTCCTGAGAGTATAGTCATTTCTAATTTTGTCGTCTTTCAGTGATACAAAAGACAGAACCTTTAATTAGTCGAGTTAAGAGAGAAACCAAACACACAATTTGGCCTAGAACGGCGCGACTTAGGGAGAAATGATGACGAGGACTTGAGATGAAAAGGAAAAGCCCTCGTCGCGGCAATCGGCATGTAACACATATTAGCGCCTACAAGACTGCACGGATACTTCACGCAATGCATCAAACACAGTGCGGTTATTGTGGTCGGCGTGAAACGGATAGCGCCTACAAGAATGCATGAATACTTCACGCATTGCGCCAAACACGGTGCGGTCAGCGTGAAACGCATAGCGCCTACAAGACTGCGTGAATACTTCACGCATTGCGCCAAACACGGTGCGGTCGGCGCGGCGCAGCGGCGGAAGTTAGGATCATTATACCAAATGTGTTTGTTCTTTCATAATTTTTTCGTTCATTTCTTATGAATAGAGGGTCTTGTCCACGCAGTGATAGGTTTACGAAACTCGACTTCGGCGCAAAGTTTCGTGACCTTTTGCTAGTAGTGTTGACAGGGCTTTCCCAAAAAATGTGTTCAACACGAGAAAACGCGTCTTATGCACCCCTTCCCCGCTGGCACGTTCACTTGATAGTTTTTATTGATGTTTCAAAACGAATGAGAAGGGGGCGGCAAGTAGGAAAATCCGGCCCTGCATGTGCCATTAGTATCCCTATGCACATAAGTGTTTTTTCAGATGAGCCAGAATTTATAGTTCCAAATCGCAAAATGCAGTCCATCTAGCGTAATGCACCGTACCAGTGGGCCGATTGTTGAATTTGATAGACAAAGCGACAGAAAATGAAGAAAATAGGAATATGGAGGGATCCTATTGGTGGAAAAGGGTGGTTGCAATGGACAAAGGAGGTAGGTAATAGACTAACTAACGACAGCCCACGAGAGACCCCTTAGTTAGTCCATCATTTTCTCCCCTAGTCTATAAAAACCATCCATTTCAACCCATAGGATCACTCCATCCTCCTTATGTCTTCTTTTTCTATCGCTTCCTATATCAATTTCATCAATCAGCCTACTGGATAGTTCAACCACTTTTTTGTTTAATACCATGACCAACTCAGGATTTGGTAAAATTGATCATTCTTTTTCTCCTTGTGTCCGTTGAGCATTTCGAAAGATCCCGAAGTTGAAACCGCTTTCTTGATACCCAAAGCATTAGCCAAGGAAAGTAAGCGCATCCGCAGCAGTCGTAAATTAATTAGAGAAAATTAAAATCCTGACTCTGCAGGACGCGAACTTGTGTGGAGATAAGTAGATTCTTTTCATCAGTATACGGTGCGTTTCAAAATACCGACTGCATGATACCACCATGAAGCATAATTATTTATACAGCTTTTAGTGTGAATAGTTCGACGAAAGCTTTTTCGCTCGGGAATTTACCGAAAAATATTCAAGAGGGAACATATTTTCACGAAACTCGTTTTGGCAGAGCAGAGGTGATAACTTTTGAAGTTGTTTTGCAATGAAAGTTAACACAGAGCCTCTATTCGAAGTGGCGCGGTGATAAACATTCTACCAACTTCGAAAGCGTCTGAAAAACTTTGCGGCGCATCCGCCAAAAGTAATGTTCCCGTGAAAGCATCCTAAAACATTGTCTAATTCTGTCTTTTCCAGTTTTCTGCGTGCTTTGAAACAAGCACCTCGTTCCCCGCCCTTAAGTTTTTTGATACCGAGATCGCTTTTGTTCAGTTCACCCCTTTAATTACTTGAAAGCTTCATTTGTTGGTGGTTGAGGGATGCTGAAATATGAGTCCGAAGAAAAAAAAGACGGTGAAAATGCACGATTTCAATCTCCTAAAGAATTGAGAGGAGTATAAAAGAATAACACGACTAATGATGCTCCTGAGGGAAACTTCAAAATAAAATTTGATGGAAATTATATGTATGTATAGGGAGACTCAATAGGGCCTCTTGGCAATTGAACCCATTGCACGTGAATTAATCTTGCAGCATTTCTCGAGTCCGAACATGTCGAACGTAAGAATATCCTTCAACTTAAAAGGATGCAACTTGCGATACAACCTTGCTGTTTTTCCGAAGAGTTCCTCTTTCATTAGCCAGCACTGTAATCAACTTTACTTCGATAAAATATTTATTTTTTAGGAAAGTTATGGGTATTTTTCCTTGAAACTCTTAAAAATTTCACATGGAATTGCGAACAAAATTGTCTATAAAATTGGAAGGAAAATATTCATAAGTTTACTGGGAAATTCGTGTTTTATCGAAAGTAATTTGGCAACGCCTGAAGGCTCATACGACGTTTTTCCTTAGCACGGCAGCATTGTGGTATCAAAAGATCTGTGTCCACGCAGCATTTCCTGCAACGAGTTGTTTGTTCATCCTTTAAGAAATGTGAAATATGATCCAAAAGCATTAGAATTTGAACACTGGAAAAAAAACACATTGGATCTAGAGTCCAGACCCTTAAAAACATCTACAAGAAAAAATACTCTTGATTCAATCAGATTTAAGCTTAAATCAAGAACCAAGCCTTTTTTGAGCGAATTTCCTTTTGATTTAAGCTTAAATCTGATTGAATCAAGTAAGAATCCTTTTTCTTGTCAATGCTTTCAAGAGTCTGGACTCTAGATCCAATGTGTTTTTTTTTCCAGTGAATGTATACTCATTAAATTCAGTATGCTTTACTGAAGGTCTTGTTTAGTGTCCAAGAGAGAGTAATGAAACTCGCTGACGAGTCAAAAGTATTCAATTTGCAATGCGTAACTTTGATTTCAGAGTGTTGCCGAGTGTGTCAGCGTTCGTGAGAAGCAACTCAATGAGCTGCACGCCATTTTTAGCCACCTTCAAAGCGGAGGAACTGTCGACACGTATCCGGATCAAAGTTCAAGCAGGTAAGAAATCGGCTCACCCTATTCCATTTTATTCGTTCCCCTCTCTTGGGAAACCAGTCCACCTTCAAAATCTATACTACTCGAAAAAGTTTTTGCTTTTAAAGATAAAAATACATACAGGAAGGGAAGGAGAAATGAACTGAAACCTTTCTGACCCAAATAAAACATACAGAAGGAGAGAAAACATACAGATTTGCCAAGCAATTTGATTTTTTTTTTTTTTTTTTTTTTTTTTTTNTTTTTTTTTTTTTTTTTTTTTTTTTTTTTTTTTTTTTTTTTTTTTTTTTTTTTTTTAAGTGTCCCTTCACTTGCATTAAGTAATTTTGTAAGTGGACAGATGCTCAAGACCGGAACCTCAGGAAATTTGCATGTTTATATTTTTTGAAATCGTTACTTGCTTGTTATTTCTGATCTCTTAAGTAGTTGTCCTATTTTTTAACATCGGACAATGGTCATTTCGGGAGTTGTGTTTTCCATCCTTAGGTCCTTCGTTTCTTTTTGATCATTCTTTGTTGAGGCTTGGAAGCTACGAAGGATTTAAAGATGGGGAAAAACATCTCCGGAAATGACCATGGTAAAATAATAAAGAATAGGACAACAACTACTGAAGAGATCAGGAAAGGCAGGTAACAATTTGAAAAAAAAATCATGAATCCTGATAAAAAAGAAAAAATCGACAAAAGATGTCATCAAAGTATGTAGTACATCAAAGTATGATCATGAACGGTATGTTCCAGTTATTCTATGCAGATAGACTTTTTTCCGGAATGATGCCCCACTCCGTGAAAATTCTATCAAAGTAAAGTTGGCAACCTTTGAGGGCGCGCGGGGTATTCTTACTCAGGACGGTAGAATACGAGGTAATGTTTTTGAAGTTTTCGTTTTTTCGACGCGGAACTATTTCTCCTCGCCGTGGGTTGGGGGAACGTGGCTCGCCCCCGTTGGACCGGGTAATAATTTGCGAAAGCTCACGGAGCCGATGGCTCAATAAACTTGGAATTACGGGGCGCGTGAGTTTTGATGCCGGGAAAAGGAAGGGTCGGCGGACTGGTGGCCCAGCGGCGCCTCAATCGAGGGATCACGCGGAAAGCCTCGCGATTTAGTTTCATTTCATCAAATTGTTGGTCCCTTTCTCCCTCCGACTCGCTTCTGCCGTGGCGAAGGCTCATGCACCATGGAGCCCTTTCTCGCAAGGTTGTCAGCCTTACAAAAATGTCCATAAATTCAAGATGAAGTCGGAAAAACGGCATGAATGTGAAAATGACATCTCAAGAAAATTACGTTCAACGTTTTGGATTGCTTTTAAACCTAATCCAGACCGTGTAACTTTTTGTGTCACTGCTTCCGCTTCGTTCGAATGAAAATTTGGATATTGTGTGATATAGAGCACCTACACAGGGAGAGCATAGACATCGAAATGGACGTATTTCTATCAAACGGAACTATGTGCATTATGACGCGAGCCCTGTCATACACATATCCTTATGGGTCTCAGGGCTCATGTCTTAATGCACATAGTTCCGTTTGATAGAAATACGTCCATGATATGGAGCTCATAGGGCCCAAAAGAGCAGCCGATCTTCTAACACAAATAATGTCACTGCCAATCTTCAGATTCCAATATCAAACCAAGGCGGCCAAGAATGTTCATGTTCAAGTATAAGCATTATTTCGCAACAATAAGTGAATATATGGAAAAACTATAACTGTAAGTCGAATACGTGCTGCGCCAACAACAGGTCGACGGTTCGTATCAATTGTAATAATAAATATCTCTGGATAATTTGAATTCATAGATTAGCTGCCTTTTTGGACCCTGAAAGCTTCATGACCTAACCTGAAAATTACCGACATGTCCAATTGTCCACTCGTACTCTCTCCAATTTTCCCATGCAAATTGCACTTTTACTAGGAGAATCTTGGACATTTCTAACGGAGAATTCCACTGATTTTCCCCGGATCTCATGCAAAAATCCGAAAAATTTTTGACGAAAATTGCACAGGCGTATTCTTGTGATTTGAATTGTCTGAGTCAATTTTTCAACTTCGGAACGGAGTTACGCTCCTCCGTCCGGGAGACGACGAATCGGACTGCATTTTGAAATTTGGAACTATAAATTCTAGCCCGGTTTAAAAACAACGTATGTGCAATTAGTTTTCCCATGCACATACGTGTTTTTCCAGAGGTCCCAGAATTTATAGTTCGAAATTATGCAAAATGCAGTCCAATTGTGGTGCAAGGGACATTCTCCGTGTGTCGAACGTGGTCCCCAACGGTTTTCCGTATGAAATGGAGATTTTAAGCTGACGATCGGGAAACCTCGGCATTTTACTTTCTCCCTCCTTGCCCTTGCTCGACACCGCTTTTGAAGCGCCGATCGCTCCTGAAATGAAAATTGTTGCGAGCATTTCGGCACATATTGATGTCTCACTCGGCGAAAGCCCATAACTCACGTCGTGTGGCCTCCCCCACGGTC